TGGGCGGAGATTGGCACGCTGGCTCCGGTGTTTGAAATGCCAGCTCGTTCCTCCCCTGCGTCCTCACAGGGGAATCAGTCCTGGGCCGTCGCCGTCTCTCTGCTCCCTAGAGGGGAGGAAGTCTATTTGTGTACTGATACCCCTGAAACCAACCTCGAGACACACACAAGTCCTGTCCTTGTCTCCGCCTGGCCTGAGGGAGCAGGAACTGGTCAAACTTGTGCACAAGAGCGCTGGTGACAAGTTCTTTGACAGTGAAGGCGCCCAAACAGCCGGACTGCGAAACGCACACACAGGTTGACGGTGGGTTGCAGCATTGCCTCGGTCACCTCTCTCCATGGCTAAGCCCTTCGTCATGTGACTTTGGAGTCCTCCCATTAAAGGAACAGGGTGTATTTTCCCTTTTCTGGACCTCAGCCATGGCCATGTGGCTTGTCTTGACCAACAGAATGTGGTCAGACGTGTCAGTGAGCCTGTTCCAGGCGTCTCCACCTGTCACTTTCCACATCACCAGAAGAAGAGTGCACACTGGGTACTGGGAGATCACTCCCCCACTTTTTTTTTTTTAAGTGGTTTTTGCTTTTGCTATAGGACATGTGCACTCGCCAGAGAGACAGAAAGCAAAAAATCACCCCACCCCACTCCCCAGAGAGGATGGTCATGCCACAATCCCTTCTCCTCCATTCTCTTCTCTGGATCTTGGGCACACATACACACGCGCCCAGTGTGAGTTTAAACCACCGGGTCCAGGACTCAAACTGCGGTCCACTACATGGGAGTCCAGTGACATGGCCATTACGCCACCTGCTGGTCCCCATTCTCCCACTTCTATGCAGCTCAGGAGCAGAGGCCAGGACCACCCACATAGTTTGCAGATCCCAGTGTGAAGTGGAAAGGCTGGATCCTGGACTAAGTCAATCAAACTTTCAGGACAGCGATAGTGCACCTTCGACCAGGTGTGGCCCCTTCTTAGTGCAGGACCCCTTGGGACTGCACGGGTCACTACCGAGACGCCAACCCTGCCACAGGCAACGGCAGTTTTTATTTTAAACCAAGGGTCAAGGAACAATGGTCCCCAGGTCTGACCCAGCCCACTGCCTGTTTTTGTACTGCAAAAACAGCGAGGAATGGCTTTTACACCTTGAATGGTTGGAGGGAAAAAGAATACCATTTCATGACTTGTGAATAGGATAGAACATCTGAATTTCAAAGTTTATAAATAAAGCTTTATCAAAAGGCAGCCCGGCGTATTCATCCGTGTCCTGTCAGCTGGTGGCTGCTTTTGGCCTACAGCAGGGTGGAGTGGTCGCGACATGACTGCACGTCTGCAGAGCCGTGTTTTCCTTCCGACCGCGAGCTCCGGCTACAGCACAGGCTTGTAAGAAGGCTGCCGGGGCAGTACGCCCTGAGGCCGCGAGGACGTGGCGGTAAGTCAGTGTCGCTCACTCAGGCACACCTGGGATGATCCAGACCTACGTGGGCCTAGAACCGCATGAGGAGAAAGCAACGCTCTCCCCAGTCCCTTTCTCCCCTGGGATTTCATCAGGGAGGAAGCCTCCGACTGGAGCTGGCAAGCCTGTAACGCCCGCCTCCTTCCCAGGAATTCTCCACAACGGGCAGCACAGGCCGGCGTTCATGGGCAACGAGAAGTCTCGGATACCGAGAGAGCCTGGTTTCCCTGTATCTACTTCCATGATGTACCTTCTACTTCTAGCAAGCAGTACCAGTTTTCTGTTTATGACATGCCTTCGTTTCCTTTTCCGATGCAATTGTTTGCACAGAAACTGTGAGTTTTTTTCAACCAAACCTCACGTCGATATTATTTTAGTAAGGATATTGAGTTGTGCAGATGTGAGGAAATGGAGGGTGGTCACAGGGTGTGGACGGGCAGCTGGAGTGCACAACACTCCGGAGGTGAGAGCCCCTGGGCTGAGAGTGCCCTGCAGACAGGCTGGAGGTGGAGGGCACCCTGGCTCAGGCTTGTCTCTGCCGCTTAGGGATTACATCACCTCAGACAAGCTGCTTTGTCTCTCTGGGCCTCGACCCCTTTGCTGCTGGCCGCCTGCCCACAGGCTTCACCCCTCGGCCCACGGTCACAGACCCCCAGAGCTCTGCAGCTACCTCCCAGCCCCACCCCCCACCCA